GTGGGTCGCAACTTGACAAGTGGGTTGGAAAGTGGGTCCTAGGGTGACACCAGTTGAGAAACACTGGTCTAGACCAGGCATTGGCAAACTACGGCCCGTTAGGCTTTTTAATCCGGCCCACCAAACTTGTCCAAATTATATTACTAAATTATATTATCATTAAACCTCATTTGTTCTGCCTTTTCCCTGCAATGCCTGCATTTCCCCAGTAAATGGTGCATTTTAGACACATTGACCTCTCTACTTCACTTTGCCCTTTGACCCCTTCTGTAAAAATTTGCGGACCAAAGAAAAGAAAAGTGGACAGTGAGTGCCGAGTGTTTAATAAGGAGTGGACAACAAATTTATTTATTTTTTTTTTACATATCAGCAGTATGTCTGATATGCCAAGAAACAGTTGCACTTTTCAAATACAATATCAGCTGTCACTTTGCCACAAATCATGCTGACTACGCTAGCAAGCAGTCAATGCAAGAACAGGCAGCTACTGCTCAGAGGTTGATGGCTAATTTACAGACTCAGCAAAATATGTTTCACTGACAAACTGTGATTCAAGAGTCAAGTACCAAGGCAAGTTTTATGCTGGTATTCAAATTAGCAAAGGCTAGCAAGCCTATCTCCGAAGGTCAGTTTTTGAAAGAATGCATGGTAGAGACAGCAGGTCTTTTGTGGCTGGAGAGCAAAGGCAAGTTTGAAGAAAATCTGTTTATTACACAGGACAGTGACTCGCCGTGTGGGACTTACTGATGAAGATATATCCAGCAAGTTAAACAAAAGTTTAACTTTTATTAAGTTTTATTCACTAGCACTGAATGAAAGTAATGACATAAAAGACACTGCTGAGCTCCTAATTTTTATCTGAGGGAGTAGCAAGACAGTTTTGAGATAACGGAGGAGTTTTTGGCCATGGAGTCCCTGAAAGAAAATGTGCAAGGAGAGGACTTGTATGACCGGGTTTCTGCTGTCATCGAGAAAATGAAGCTACCTTGGAATAAACTTGCCAGCGTCACCATGGATGGATCACCAAATTTACCTGGAAAAAACGTCGGGCTGCTGAAAAGAATCCAGGATAAAGTGAAAGAGGAAAACCCTGACCAGGATGTTATTTTCCTTCACTGTATCATTCATCAGGAATCTCTGTGTTAAGTCTGTATTGCAGCTTAATCATGTCGTGAATCCAGTCGTAAGATTTGTTGACTTTAGCACTGTCAGTTCATTATGTTCTTGGAGGAAACCGATGCGGATCACCAGGACTTACTTTACCACTCTCGTGTCCGCTGGTTAAGTTTGGTCAAAGTGTTTCAACAAGTGTTTGAGCTCAAAGAGGAGATTAGCACATTTTTCAAGTTAATGGGGAAATCCAACAAATTTCCTGAGCTGAGCGACAAGAACTGGTTTTGTGACTTTGCATTTGCTGTGGACATTTTTTCACACTGAATGTGAAGCTACAGGGGAAATATCAGTTTGTGCATGACATGTACACAAATGTGAGAGCCTTCAAATCCAAGCTGACTTTATTCTCCAGACAAATTTCAAACAAATCTTTCACTCATTTTCCCACACTAGCCATGCAGAGGGAGGCCACCCGAAACACGAAGAAATACTGCAAATCAATGGACGACCTGCACGAAAAATTCTGCCATCGGTTCTCTAATTTTGAAAAATTGACAACTCACTTCAGCCAGTGTCACAAGACCCTGAAACAGCACCACAGGAGCTGCAATTGGAACTAATCGATCTTCAGTCTGACTCCGTTTTAAAGGAGAAGTTCAACTCTCTTAAACTGAATGACTTTTATGCTTCACTTAACAAAGCCACGTTTCCAAACCTCCGGAGGACAGACACCACACAAAATGCTGCCGTTGTTTGGCTCGACCTATGTGTGTGAGCAGACGTTCAGCATCATGAACATAAACAAAGCCAGTCACAGATCCATGTTAACTGAACAACACCTCAGATCTATCCTGAGAATAGCCACAACAAAACTCCAGACTTTGATGCACTGCCTAAAAAGGAAGACAACACTGTTCCCACTGAAACTGAAGGTTTATTTCTCTACTGTGTTATGAAAAAAATGCATTTGGAGAATAATTTGTACAATAAGCCTTGCATGTTCATATGTCATTTATATTAGTTCACACAAACACTCCATCCTTCTGCTCCCGGCCTGGCCCCTCTGTCAAATTTTAGAACCCACTGTGGCCCGTGAGTCAAAAAGTTTGCCCTCACCTGGTCTAGACCTTACTATTATCACTATTATTACAGGGATAACCCAACAAATCCCCCTTGAGCAAGCACTTTGTGACAGTGGGGAGGAAAAACTCCCTTTACCGAAACCTCCGACAGACCTCCGACAGACCCCGTGCTCTTGGTAAGCGGCCTTCTGCCTCGACCGTTTGGGGTGAGTGGATAAAGGAGAGAGAAAAGAAGAAAAGCAACAATGTGTGCAAGGATGTGAAGAATCACTCCATAGTGCAACAATCAGCCAGTAACAAGCCTTTATGAGCAGTTTACCAAACAGCTGCTTAATGAGCATAATATACAGTACATTACAGTTGTGTTGATTAACACCGCAGCATGAAGTTTCTAATTAGTTGCTGTCTGGTCGCTGCCCGGTGTAGCGGCTATTTCAGGCTCTGTTAACGCAGGCTGAGAGAGGAGTGTCACACAGCAAAAAGCACACTGTAGCTGCACCGCTAATGCTCAGGATACACATTACATGCTTCCAACAGAATCAACACAAGAGTGATTAACTGTTTAAGCAACACCACCCTGTTCTGTGTATAGATGCTTTTTGACGGCGGCAGTACACAATACCTGTAATTCCAGATAGATTTCCTGGAATGATAAAGTTAGTGACAGAATTTAAGCCCCACCTGGGCATCTGTAAGCCTGTAGCTGAGCAGCTCTACTGCCTACAAGTGCAGCTAAATATAGTGAACAACACACAAACCACTCCGGTCACAAGGTAAGCGTATTATGTTAAAACCAGGGTTGAAACTGTCTGGCCAGTTGTTGAATAGCAACAGACCGGAGTGGAAGGTCAATTTTGTTATTTTGTGTTGTTTCATTTGTAACTCAAGAAGCTTGGTATTTACTTCATATTTATATTCCCAATTTACTCATATTATAGATCATGTTACAGTTAAAACTGTTTAATTATTAATATTAAAATCTCAAATTATTAACGGTAACTGATAACTGTACTATCAATTATGAAAACTGCATCCATATGAGAAACGTCAGCTTTCTAATGCAAGTCTAATGCAAACACAAGCAAAGAGCAAAGGAGGGGTCTGGATTTTATTGTAGATTCCCTATAGCACATGTGTCAAACTCAAGGCCCAAGGGGCCACATCCGGCCCGCGAGTTCATTTTCTATATCTTTTTTTAATGGCCCGGTGATATGAAGCGCCGATTACACACAAACTACAAATCCCATAATGCAGCGCACCAGCTGCCTTACCGAACGATAGGCTACCTGCGATCATTCCCCCGTCAATTACGTCATATCAGTCAAGCGCCTGTTGATGTATACAACCCTAATTTCAAGTCAAAGCTAGCCCCTAACAATGGCCAAGGGAAAAGTTGATTCTGAAAACAGAGCCTTTCAAAACCGGTGGGAGGCTGAGTATTTGTTTACTGACATCGCCGGTAAACCTGTGTGTCTTATTTGTGGAGCTAATGTGGCTGTAATTAAGGAATATAAACTAAGACGGCACTACGAGACAAAACATCAGGACAAGCT